TTTATTTAATTGACAGAAATAAGTGTACCCTCTAGAAAGAAGTAGGTATGCATTAAAGTATATTAAATACTATTCTTGGGAAGCCAAGTCTATACAGAATGAATCTGTGAGTTCAGTAATGGTCCTCCTAACACTGCCTGAATTTAAAAAGGCCAGTTCTTTTCTGAGGAGGGGAGTGAAATCCATTAGGTAGCATGGTTTGAGTTTTTTTTTTTTTTTAACCTCCTGAACTATTCTCACAATAAAAATTGTAAAAATAAGAAGTTAAAGGGAGAAATTAGAAAATTAAAATCATGTGAAGATAATATTTTCTACATTTATTGCATACCTACTATGTGCTAGGTTCTGTTTTAGGACTAGGAATGTCAGTGGAAAAAAAAAATGCCTGCCCTGCGGAGCTTACATTGTTGTGGGAGGATATGGATACATAGATGAAGATACATCTCCATATAGATACATATCCATTCATAAATTATGTGTATGATAGATAAAAATAAGTAAAAGCACAGATGTGTGATGTCAGATGGTGGTGGTAGTGGTAACTACAATGAAGAAAAACAAGGGAGGGAAGAGGGAGTATGAGGCAGGAGTGGGGCTGTGGAGTAGGTTACCAGGGCATCTACAAAAAACCCTAACATCCATATTTAAGAGTGAAAGATTGAATGCTTTCCCTCTAAAATCAGAAACAAAGAAAGGATGTCTGGTCTCAATGCTTTCATTCAACATTGCACTGGAGCTTCTAGCCAGTGTGAAAAGGCAAGAGAAAGAAAAGGCATCTGAAAGGGAACAGAAATAAACTGCCTTTATTCACAGACAACAAATCCTGCTATAGGGAAAATCTGGTGAAATCTACAAAAAAGCTACTAGAACTTAAAACTGATTTTTACAAGATTGCAGATACAAGATCAATGTTTAAAAATCAATTGTATTTCTTTCTATACGTTATCAAAGAACAGTTGGAAAATGAAATTTAAAAATGCCATTTGCATAACATCAAAACGTATAATCCCTAGATTTAGGAATAAATCTGACTTAAGGATACACATGACAAAAAATCAAAACATTTACTGAGACAAATAACACCTAAATAGATGGAAAGGCTTACTTTGTTCAAAGGTCAAAACACAATATTATTAACATGTAAATTATATAAACTTCAATGTTAAGTCCAATCATAAGCCCAGCTTTTTAAATAGAAAGTCACAAGCTGATTTTACTATTCATATGAAAACACAAGGGACCTAGAAAAGCCAAAACAACTTTGAAAAAGAATAAAATTGGAGGCCAAACACTGTCAGATTTCAAGACTCGTTATAAATCCACAGGAATCAAGACAGTGTGGTATTTTTGTAAAGACAAATAGGTCACTGGAACAGAATAGAAAGTCTAAGAATAGACCCACAACTGATTTTTTTAAGGACAACTGATTTTTGACATTGGTGCAAAGGCTATTCAGCGA